AAACTACTGACCTAATAAGTGAATTTGGCTAGACAGCAGGATACAAAGTCAATATTGAGAAATCAAAGGCATTTTTGTACACCAACAATGAAATATCAGAAACAGAAATCAGGAAAAAAATCCATTTGAGATAGCAACAAGAAAAATAAAATACTTGGAATAAACCTAACCAAGAAGGTAAAAGACCTGTTCTCAGAAAACCACACAACACTGAAGAAAGACATTAAGGAAGGCACCAACAAATGGAAAAAGATACCGTGTTCATGAACTGGAAGAATTAACATCATCAAAATGTCCACACCACCTAAAGCAGTTTATCTATCCAAGGCAATATTAAAAGTACCAATGGCGTATTTCACAGATATAGAACAAACACTTCAAAAATTTATAAGGAACCATCAATGACCCCGAACAGCTGCAGCAATTTTGAGAAAGAAGAACAAAGTAGGAGAGATTACAATACCTGATATCAAACTGTATTGCAAGGCCATGGTAACAAAAACAGTCTGGTACTGATATAAGAATAGACACAGAGATCAATGGAACGGAAGAGAGAGCCCGGAAATAAACCTGTGTCCCCATGGCCAATTAATATTTGACAAAGGGGTAGAAGCATAAAATGGAGCAAAAATAGCCTCTTCAACAAATGGTGTTGGGAGAGCTGAACAGCTATATGCAGAACAATGAAACTCAACCACCAACTTACACCACACACAAAGATAAACTCAAGATGGATAAAAGACTTAAATATAAGTCAAGATACCATAAAAGTCCTGGAGGAGAACATAGGCAGGAAAATCTCAGATATTCCACAAAGCAATATTTTTACCAATATGTCCCCTAGAGCAAGAGACATAAAAGAAAGAATAAACCAATGGGACTTCATCAAATTAAAAGCTTCTGTATTGCTAAAGAAAACATCAGCAAAATGAAAAGGGAACCAACCACATGGGAAAATATATTTGCGAATGATACCCTGTTCAAGGGTTTGATCTCCAAATTATATAAAGAACTCACACAACTCCACTCCAGAAAGACAAATGTCCCAATTAAAAAATAGGTGAAGGACCTGAGCAGAAACTTCTCCAAGGAGGACATACAGAGGGCCCAGGAACATATAAAAGGATATTCAGCATCAGATGCTCAGCATCATTAGCCATCACAAAGTTGCAAATTAAGAGCACAATGAGATACCACTTCACACTGGTGAGAATGGCCATCATAAACAAATCAACAAACAATAAGCGCTGGCGAGGTTGTGGAGAAAAGGGAATCCTAGTGCACTGTTGATGGGAATGCAGATGGGTGCAGCCACTGTGGATAACAGTAAAGGACTTCCTCAGAAAACTAAAAATAGAACTACCTTTGATCCAGCAACTCCACTGCTGGGATTGTATTCTAAGAATCCTGAAACACTAATTCAAAAGAACCTATGCACCCCAATGTTCACAGCAGGACAATTTACAACAGCCAAGTGCTGGAAGCAACCTAAGTGTCCATCAGTAAATGAGTGGATCGAAAAACTGTGGTACATTTACACAATGGAATTCTATGCAGCAGAAAGGAAGAAGGAGCTCCTATCCTTCGTGACACCATGGATAGAGACACCATGGATAGATGTGGAGAGCAGTATGCTAAGTAACCCAGGTGTGAAAGACAAATACCACATAGTAGCACCTATAAGTGGAATCTAATAAACAAAACAGACAAGTGAGCAAAACAGAACCAGAGACATGGAAATAAAGAACAAACTGACAGTAACCAGAGGGGAAGGGGGATAACGGAATAAAGAAGGGGAAGGGCTGTCAAGGAACAAGTAAGTATAAAGCAACCATGGACAAAGCCTAAAGGGGGAAGGATTGAGGGTAGGAGGTGGGGGTGGGTGGGGTGGTGGGAAAGTGGTGGGGGGAAAATGGAGACAACAGTACTTGAACTACAATAAAAAAAAAGAAACAGAAGCTTGTACTTTTGACTACATATATTTGTATTACATTTGGTAAAATAAGTGTTACTTTTACAAATAAAAGGCATAAATCAATATCAAAACAAAAAAAGAAATAGTGGGTGATAGACCATCATGTTAGCAACTTATGTACTCTCAAATAGTTCAGGGGAAAATGTTATTTGTACTACACTTGGAACTTCTCTGTAATTTTGAGATTATTTCAAATTTTTTAAAAAGAGAAAATCTTATACTAGAACATGTTAGATAATCCAAATTAACTCATAAGCAATTATCATATAGGGAAATGCTTTTAATATAATGCAGCAATCATTTGGTTTATTTCCAGTTTTACTCTATAAGATAATACTTTTGCACCAAATTAGAGAGATTGAAAGCAAAATACACTAATGTAGCAGCAGAACTTGGGCTAGACACCTCAAGAAACACAGGATTGGACACAATACCCATTGCCCCCAATCTTCTTCCTGTTTCATTTTGGCCATGTGTTCTGACTTAAAAGTGTTTATTGCATTATATAATTTTGCCTTGTCATTGTAACTGAATACTCTCAACCCTTCTGTACCCTCCAATTAAGCTATCCTTAGCAATATTTAAAGTTAAGTCCCACCTATACTGTAGCATTTGTTTATTATGAATTTAAATGTGCTAGTATTTTTATTGAGATTCTAAATTTCCTGAAAGTATTCTAGTTACAAACTTACACAGGTGTGTAGGTCAGCCCTATCCCTATTTGTCTTAACAATCCCCATTATTTCTAGTGTGTTATTTTGCATAACCCAGTTATTTCAGCAATGCCATCAGCTTCTTCAAGATATGAATGGATATGTAATTTTATTTCCTCTCAAAGCTCTGCTAAAAACTAGAGAATTTTTAAAAAGGCATTATCCAGAGCCTTTATTGAACAATAAAATGTGATCATTTTGATCATCAAAAAGAGTAATTATTACATTTAACTGGGACCCACTGTATTTATGAAAATTCATGAGTTTCTAATACTCTCCAAACTAGATAACTGTTCACACTAACGTAGCTAATAAATTAACCAAATGTGGTAATTAAAAGCCAAGGATTAAGCATTTAATTATAGTAACTGAATAGCTCCAGGTGAATAGCTCCAGGTAAAACAGCTGTATTTCACATAAGAATGCAAGTTAATAAATGTAGATGAGATGACAGATTTAGAAAATCATCATTTTGTGATTCCTAATGAAAAAACAAACTTAGTTGTAAAATCATTAGATGAATAGTTGATGGGGGAGTAGATTTTATGGGATGAAAGTAACACAAATAGATTTGTTACCAAAGTAACAAAATAGATTGGGAACAAGGGAGGAAATGTAACTTTATAGTGGAGGGATCATATTATCATTTCCTTAATCCAATGTATCCACTTCATCTTCACAGCAGAAGCCTGCCTCAGCACTAGTGATGGTTGGGCAACCAAACATTGTGTCTCCTGTTACAACATGAAGCATGCGCATCACCCATGATGTAATCCTATGAGATGGAATTCTACAGAAACAATTAACCTGATTTGTTTAGTAAATCATTGTCATGTAAAAAAGGGATTGTTCTAGGCTGAAAGATTTGAGGGAAATAACCAGGTGCAATGCCATCATAGATAAAATCCTATTTTTACAACAGATTGTCTAAGGCACTTTTAAGACCACTGGGGATATCGCAATATACACTAGGTGATAGATGGTATTTAAAAATTGCTATTGGGTGTGGAACATGTGTATCTGTAATCTACTTTTTAAAACTTTAGTTTTTTTTAATTAAAAAAAATTACCTACAAGGACAGGGATAACAGGAAAGAAAATAAGAGCATCAAAATTTTAGGAGTTGGAAAATGAGTAAATATGAGGTCCGCCTGGAAAAAGTCCAGCCATAGTTAATGTAATAAAAACAGTTTGCGCAATGTTAATGTATCCTGGCAGCCAAGGAGAGTGGAGTGGAATACGCATGTGGGAACAATGACAACTTCACTGAACTAGTCAGTAGGGGCAGTAGATGCTGTTGAGAGAGCATGTGTACTGTGTGGCCATTGCATTTAAAATGACTCAGTGAGTAGAGTGATGGATTTGCATCAAATTTGTGTTAAGCTTTAACATTCCTCTGTAGAAACTATTTGGATGATTTAGAAGGCCATAGCTGGTGATTGGCAGCTTCATCATGACAGCGTGCCCACTCATTCATCATGTCTTGTACAGAGTTTTCAGGTGAAACATCAAATCACCCAGGTGACTCAGCCTCCCTACTGCCCAGATTTGGTGCCCTGTCATTTCTGGCCTTCCCCAAAACTAAAATCACCTTTGAAAGAAAGGGAAGAGATTTCAGACCCTTGATGAGATTCAGGAAAATACAATGGGGCAGCTGATGGTGATTGGGAGAAGTGTGTGAGGTCCCAAGGTGTCTACTTTGAAGGGGACTGAAGTGTCATTGTCCTGTGTACAATGTTGCTTGTACCCTCTTCAATAAATGTCTCTATTTTTCATATTACATGGCTGGACACCTTCTAGACAGACCCCATACATTGAAATATTAAAATAATGTGACAGGTAAAGTGAAGTAAACAAAAAAGAAATCGAATCTAGATTTTAAAAATAAAATCCATTTCAATTCCAAAAAAATTATTCTCCATTAAAAAAATGATATGGGTGAAAGGAGTCAAAAGATACAAACATCTAGTTATAAAACAAGTCATGAACATAATGTACAGAGTGTTAACTATAGTTTAATAATATTATATCGCATATTTTAAACTTGCTAAGAGAATAAATCTTAAAAGGTCTACTGACAAAAAGTTTTTGTTACTATGTATGGTGACAGATGGTAACTAGACTTGCTGTGGTAATCATTTTGTAGTGTATACAAATATTGAATCATGTTGTACATCCAAAACTAATATAAGGTCATCTATCAATTATACATCAATTAGAAAATTAAACAATATTATAATCACACAGTTGTACAACTAAAATTAAAAACTTTTGACAATATATCATCTGTTATTGCAGTATTGTTTACTAACCTCTGATTCATCACCCTTCTCTCTATAAGCAGTAGCAATACTGGTTTGAACAGCCTTAATCCACGCCTGGCGCAATTTTTCAGAATCTGCCTGAAGCATGCAACTTCTAAAAGGAAATAACATTTTTTTCTCAGTCACCAAATTAAGCCACAAAAATAATGCTATGTATACTTTTTTGCTCATTTTGCTATTTAATAATTTTTTAACAAAAGTAATTATGTTTGTTGCCCTGGCTGGTGTGGCTTAGTGGATTGAGCACCAACCTGCGAACCCAAGGGTCGCTGGTTCGATTCCCAGTCAGGCCACATGCCTGGGTTTCAGGCCAGGTCCCCAGTAGGGGCCGTGTGAGAGGCAACCACACATTGATGTTTCTCTCCCTCTCTTTCTGTCTCCCTTACCTTCTGTTGAAAAATAGTAAATCTTTTGTATTTGTTGAAAGGTTTTTATCTGTCTTTAGGACAGAGTGTGTTCATTAAGCAATCAAAGTATCAATAAAATAAGTTACCTATTGGAAAGAAATTACCCATCCTGCACATTAAAAGAAAACAAACTTTGAATTTACCACATAGTTGTTCCTTGCTATATTGCGGTCCACTTATTGTGGCTTCACTGTATACTTCACTGGTGAGTACCCATATACAATTTTATATGTTGTTAAAATTACATAAGTTTAAGAGTGTAGAAAGTGTTTAAGAGCATATGAAGTGTTTATAAGAGTGTGGGAAAGGTTACTAAGAGAGTTAGAAAGGTTTATAGGAGTGTGGAAAGGGTTTATAAAGCCTTAAAATATATATAAGTAATAAAATAAATATAACACTGCTACTTCATGGGTTTTCACCTATCTCTGGGGTCTCTGGAATGTAACTCCCATGATAGGTGAGGGATCACTGTAAACAACATATTTTTCTACTGGGTGGAAATATAAAATGATATTCATCAAAAAATTAATCTGATGAGTTCAGTTCATCATCCATGACAGCTACAAAGTTTTCATATGGCCACACTAATAATCTTTATGGAATATAAAGAATATATGATACTGAAAAGATGTTACAGAAATTTCTAATACCTGTAATCACTAATTAATAAAATTTACTTTTAAATATTTTTTTTCTCTTAAGTACAGAGCATCACAAGTGAAACCCAAATCTTTCTCTACTCTGGAAAGTTTAAGACAAACTACAGAAACATAACAGAAACTCTCAAACTCTTTAGAACCACTCACTTTGTGGGAGAGACCACCTCAAAGCAGAATCGCCGTTCTATGTCTTCACAATGTTTCACTGTGCAGAGCCGTAGATCTTCTACTACCACAGTGGGGTTATCCTACAATAAGGAAACAGAACTCCCATATTTAACAATCTAGATTTCAAATACTACTACCAATAACACTTAAAAATATTACTTGGCATAAATGTGTTAATTTTAAAGGTTTATATTTGTATTATTTTAGTTAGGAGTTATCAACATAGATATAACTAATAAAGGTAATTCTGCCCTGTTAATACTTTTACCTGCCTCATAAAATTGCTATATAAGAATTAAACGAATTAGTTTAAGCCTAGCCAAAAACTTGGTAATTAATTAGTAGGTGCTCCATAAATGTTAGCTTTCTGTTAATTTTCTTCCATATCCATTACACTCCTGGTCCCTACTCACATACAATAAAAACTACTTTCCTCCAAAAAAGAAAGTAGTCAAGATTTATATAACTGAAAAAAAGGACGGCTATATATATAGCCTTCTAAAAATGTGTCAGAAAATGAGAAAAAGTTTATCATTTTCTAGTACTAATAAAAATATAACTCAAAACCAAGTTTATCAGAGTAGAAAAAAGCATGACCTAATTAGTTAGAATAAAGGACTTGTGTGGAAAAAGTCTGCAATCACAGAACCTAACAAGTTAAACTTCATACTGTGTTACCTCAAGAGTAAAAGTGAATATTTCAAATTTACAGTTGAATATATCACTAATGAAGGCTAACTAGGTAAAAATCATGTCACTAATTAACCAATAGTTCTTTTTTCCTAATTTTTTGGAAAAGTATTTATTGATATGATACATTCGCCATGTATCAGCTTAAGAAGTTTGTAGGTCAAGTTTATCTGTGCATGGTGGGAAGAGACACAGATAAGGGAAAGGGAGGAAAGGAAAAAAATGGTCACAAAGAAATAGAAAAGAAAATACACCGCAGGTTACCAGAACCTTCAGAATAAAAACAAGAAAAAGAAAAAGTTGTGAGCATCAACATCAGCTATACAAGGATTACAAAGACTCGTGTGAAGGAAACAAAATCTTTAGCACTATGCATGGTGTCTACAGACCATTTCAATATCCTCCTTCCACATAAAGCAAACCTCCCACAGTCTCTCCTGGGTCACTGGGCACCTCTGACTGCAGTCTTCTGAGTGAACACCAACAAGGCTGGTGATAGGAGAGGGAGAGCAGAGAAGTCTAGGTACACTGGGGAGGGACAAGGATCAGTACCTTCAGAGGGAAATGTTCAAAGAGATAAAGCGGCACATTTGGATGTTACTTGGGAGGGAAGTGAGTTGGCACATTTTCAACATCACATGGGATTTTAGTATGCCTTTCCAAAAAATAAAAATTCCTCATCCTTAAAATAAGGTTCAGAGAAATGAATTTATAAAAACAATATTAACAAATTTAGAGGTTTTTATTTAAGTTACTTCAAGGTTACATGTTAATGTCATTTCTAACCTTTCTATATTATCACCTGTCCCATAGGGTGATATTTCTTAAAAGGCAGCCTTTTCTAAAACCTCAAAAAATTACTGTGGAATGGTAGTATTATTCCTGTCACACAAAGAGACAAAGAAACACATGAAGAAAAAAAGTAATAATTCTGGGACAGAAAAAAATATATCTCAAAGCTAGGAATTAAGAATTTAGATTTCAAAATTATTCTCCATTAAAGTATCAAATATTGATATTTTTCCCTTCTAAATCCTCTTACACATGCTCAAACTTAAAACTAATAATCAGTAATTTCACACACATGAGTATTTATGGACTTCAATGCTTTCCCAAGACAAACAGATCAAGAACCAAAACCAGGGACTCACTGAACGTTTTTCACTTAGTTACTTAACAAAAGACCTACCTTAAACTTTTTCTGGTAAACCAACTGATTGTTCTGTATTGAAAACCAGCGTCTAAATAAATACAAAATAGATTAAATTTCCACAAACAATTTAAAATCAGTTTATAGTAATTATGCGTTGTTGAGAAGTACACTGTTTTGTTTTGCTTTGTATAAACTGATGCCAATGAGATTACTGAAAGTAAAAAACAATTTTAAACAATTTTAAAACCACAGATTAGGAAAGTGAAACTACTATATTTTGATTAATTTTAAGTTAGAAATTTAAATCCTAATGAAAGCTATCTTTCATGCTATCACCAAATAATTATTTTAAAGTAAAAATTTATTTCTTTGAAGTTCCTCAAAAATAACCAAAATCTTTCCCCCAAAATAACTGCTTTCATTAAAAGTAGAAATAAATTTATACTGTAAATAAAACTATCCATTTGTATACACTAAAACACTGAAGTAAATGGTGCTTTGTTTTCAACATTTCTGCAGCTAATTCAGCAAGCATTTGATTTATTAAGCAAAACAGATGATTAAATCATCATTTTACAACTGCTATCAAACAGGAGACAAATGCCAATTCATTTGGCCTTACTTTTATATCATCATATAAGCAGAATACTCAAACTTATTACTAAAAATGAGTCATCCAACTATTTACATTATTCTCCTTATTACTGCAATTAGGCAAACAATTTACTTGCAATCTTCTTTAAAAGAACAGGCTAAGCTACTTATGGCATATTTACTAATTCTAATTTATTAAAACAGTAAAAGGACCTAAAGACTTACAAAAAAAAAAAAAGAAAGAAAAACAAAAACCCAGCCAAAAGCCAATCATAAAAGAAAGCAAAAATTCTCACCAAGCATGAAAAGTAAAACAAAATGAGTCATTATTTTAAAATTAGTTTCATGTGAGATGATTTCTATTATAAAAATTAATTATTAATCTATTAGCAGATAGATTCCACCTTTTCAATGATACTAATAAAAAACACCAGAAATTATATATAAACATATTTATAATTTCTATTTTAAAAAATTATTGGTAAGTTAATTCTCCAAAGCTGAGGAAATGATTAGATGCTTATTAGGTTTTCTTGCTACTTTAAAAAGGTATAACCTTTACCATTAAAATAGAGATTTGTTAAATTGGCATCTAGATAAAATTAAGTGGGTTGCCTCTAAATGCAAATCATCATGAGGCAGACTAGAAAAGGAAGAACTTCTGGGTTTCTTTGCTTTCCAACACATAATTGGTTAGAAATGTTAAAGGAAATACCTACAAACAAACAAAAAGATGCAGCCCTGCCACAGGGGATGACATGCAATGGAAACAATCTCTGGTACTGATTAAAGTGTTTTTAAAACATCATCTGAGGTAGGATAAACTATGTTAATAAAAATTCTTATGTTTTATAGTAATGATATTATATAAGTTGATGAAAAACCACAGAGTTTTGCTGCACAATAGAAAAACACCCATATATAACTATGTAAGCTTTTCATGCTTCTGAGGTCTTCAAAAAATAAATTTATTTTGACCTGTTGCATCTTAGGGCCAAAACCTCTAAAACTAATACCAAATATTACATTAAAAGCAAGTTCCTTTGCTTTTTTGTCAGAGATCATTTCCTGATATTAATTTTACAGATCATAGATATTTCTGAAACCTAGTTCCTCTGCCATCTCTCTGTTCCTGGTGACTTTCTCGTATCATCAGCTTTTATATGGTCAGGATAGGTACCAGAAATCTATCTTAATTTGGCAAAGCCTGCTAGGAAATAAAACCATGATGTACCCCAGGTAGAAAAAAATTTTCAATTACAAGAATCTGTTTATCTTATGACACTGTTTCCCTTCCTCTGCCATTATAAAAAACAAGAAAAAGAAAAAAAGAGCTAACCATACTCATTTGTACTGATCATGACTTTAATCAGGTAAGTAAAATGGAATATAGTTTTTAACTGCTCCTATAGAATAATCCAAGTTATTAATATTTTTATTAAAAGGAAAAATGGGACAGCTCATATATTCCTAGGGAATATAGAAAAACACTATTTTAAGTTGTTACCTGCAATCTGAAGATACTTAAAAAATATTATTAAATAATAAAAAAGACAAATTTTGGAAAGCATTGTACTGACAACTACACTATATTCTACAAGATTCAAAAGCTGTCACAAAGCCAAAACTTATATAAGACAGTGTTTTAAAGAGGAAAACTTCTCGGTTCATTAAGTGAGACACGACTTTATATCTCTCTCAAACTGAAGTAACTCAATATAATAAAGATTTGAGACCAAAATATTCTATTCATAAATAATTAAAAATTGTTAATTATAAATACCAGTGAAAGTTTTCCAGATGACAAAATTGAGGGAGAGAGAAATATATTTAAAAAATAAATCAACCATCTTTTACCTTGTTTCATCACTAGTCTAAGAACTATACTTGAAATCAAGTACATAGGTAAAATAAAGCTTCTAAGTTGGTAGAGGCTTTTTCACCAAAATTATAGATAATGGATTCATGCACACATTTATATACGTGCCAAAGAGGCGAATCTTTAACAAAATTAAAAGTCTGAACATTTAATGCTCCTTTATTTCAAATTCAATTTTATTTTTCAAGGGAAAAAGACCAAAATGGTAAAACAAAACAAGCAAACAAAAAAATCTAGGAACTGATGATGTTTCTCTTTCAATATAACCAATATGGTTATTATCAAAGAGACTAATTCCTACTTACTGTTTAAATTTTTGAAAAGCATTTACTACCTTATTTCCCTTAAAAAAAGGTATTATATTACTCAATGTATAATCTTCTTCAAGTAACTAAAACATATCAAATATTCTTTTCCAGATTAAAATAAATTGAGGAGATGGGCAATGAAAAAATATAATTTCACTCCTCAAAAAGGATGTTTAGTTTTTCCTCCCCAATTTAAAAGGTAAGAGACTTTATATCCATTGCAAGTAATCCAAATGAAATGCAGGTTAATTATGAGCTTTTTCGTGCCAAAGAGGAAATGGGAGTAAGGTAAGGGGTGAGGGGAAGAAAGCCATTTGGTACCTGATATGATCGGGCTTTTTCCTGTCATGTGAAAAAATGGGGCAGGATTAAAACATAAGGGAAAGGTGGTAAAAGAATGAAAACGCAAATGTGCAAAATAAGCAAAAGACTAGCATGATATGAAAATAAAGCAAGAATTAAAGGAACAAGCTTAAGCTTTTACCCTAACAAAATAATCAAACATATCTGTTGCATTATTTTCACATATTATACATACATGTGTACAATTAATTCCAACTCTTAGGAATCTGAAACACTATTATTTTAGAAGTATTCAAAAATTTACTTCAAGTATTATGGTATAGAGTATTCTGGTAGGACTTAGCACACTTGGGCATACCTCTACTATTATTTTAGGCCTTTATTGTTATAGCTATTAAATACTGTATAGTAACTTCTTCATCTTAATAATCTATTCCTTACATATCACTATAGATATATCTATATAAACCTGAGACAAATAAAATCTTTTCATAAGGAAAGTGGAATCATTAATTAAGAATTTCAGCGATTATAAAATATTGTCAACCAAAAAACCCACCTTCGTGCTCACCCCCTTTTCATTAAATGATAGCAGAGACTCTAAGGCTACAAATAAGTAGAGTTCATCTTTAATCCACATGTACACTTCTTATTTTAAAACAAACTAAAAAAACCAAGCATTGATATCTACAGCAGCATATAGAATACTTTGCTTTTAGAAATAATATAATACATTTCATGCTTTTAGCTTTATTTTCTAGTTACGACGACTAAGGAAAGCATATTATTATTCAGCTTTATTAGTTTTACCAGCTTATGACTAAAAAATGTTAATATTTAATTATTTTCCTCTTCATTCATCCTTTCTGAATTTTTCATGTAAAGTCAAAGAGAAATATAGGTACCAGTACTCCATCTAGCATTGATCTGAGCCTGAAGTAAAGCTGCCACACTGAGAAAATGGCCTGACATAGAAATATTATTTTGGTTCCACTGCTAGGATTATATCCTAAGAACCCTGAAACACCAATCCAAAAGAACCTATGCACCCCAATGTTCATAACAGCACAATTTACAATAGCCAAGTGCTGGAAGTAACCTAAGTGCCCATATGTAAATGAATGGATCAAAAAACTATGGTACATTTACACAATGGAATTCTATGCAGCAGAAAGAAGGAGCTCCCACCCTTTGCAACAGCATGGATGGAACTGGAGAGCATTATGCTAAGTGAAGTAACCCAGGTGATGAAAGACAAATACCATATGATCTCACATTTAACTGGAACCTAATAAACAAAATAACCAGGCAAGCAAAATATAATGAAAGACACTGGAATTGAGAACAGGCTGACAGTGACCACAGGGGAAAGGGGAGTGGATAATGGGGGAAAAGGGTGAGAGGTTTACAGGAACATTTATAGAGGACACATGGACAATAACAAGGTAGGGTGGAAACAGGGGAAGGAGGTGGGGAGGGCTGGGGTGGTAGGGGAAAAATGCAGAAAACTGTACTTGAACAACAATAAAAAATGCTAAAAAAAATACACTTGGGATTTCAGAAAAAGAAAATAAAAAGATACCAGCAAAGAAAAAGAAAAAAAAGAAATATTACATTGGTAGATCTCTCATGTCTTCAGAAAGTATATATACTATAGACATATAAAAATCTCCAGAGACATGAAGAACCAGAAATCTATAGCCAATCAGAAACAAGCTAAACAATTCATGAGACATAAAATGTTTCACTCTTTATACTAATTCAACCACATCACACAAAATATGACCTCTTCAGTTAAATTTTAGGTTATAGAATAATGCTTTTAAGATACATTTTATGAAGCACAAGGTCAGGTTTTAAAACTATCAGAAATTCACATTTCTCTCAGAAAGAAGATCTTTTGAAAAAGTTCATTTTAGAAAACATTATATGTCACTATTCTATAAAACTATAAATAATGGCAAATTTTTCATCATATGATAGATACCTATAGTGATTATGACAAAAAATGTTCCTCTAAAAGTAATCCACAGGCAATCTAAAAACAAAACAAAACTTAAAACAGTAGGCAAAAAAAAAATATCTTTCTTTGAATAGCAGGATTCTTGGATTTTTAAAGTTAGGGCACAAATATCATAAATACAGTCTTTTATTCTAGTAGAAGCTAGTAGATTATATTAAATCAAACTGGACTGAGAACTAATCTGAGAAGTAGGTCAGATACTCAAGTCATATACAGGTAAAGAAAATTATTTGCAATTATTTTCAGAAATTCAGTTTTTTATAAACTTCATGTAAGAAATTTAAATACATTCCAAAATTTTTAAATTAAAAAGTAAAGAAAATTCTAAATAATATTTAATAGGTTACTCTTTTTTTCCTTTCCCTTTTATAGTTACTGTCCTATAACTTGGAAAATATTTAAGACTTCTGTTACAAGGTTTGACTTTTGCTTCTTGTTTGTGAAAGAGTTTTATATAATGTTTATATGTTCTATTCCTACAAGTCTGCTTTTTACCAGTGTTTTCATCAAAATGTTCTCTAAAAGTACATGAAAATGAAACTAATTTGCTAATTAATTAATATTAATTATATTTCCTAATAATGCAAATGGACTAGGAAGGTTTTTAAAACTAGTTTCTAAAATGTTCTTTAATAACTGTAGTATCTTATTTAATCAAAATATAGATTGCTTGGAATTTCCATATCAAGTTTTTAAAAAATGCTAGGTTTTGGGCCTCAATTTTGTCACAAACCAGCTGTGTGACCTTGAATGAACAACCATCTCTCAGCACCTCCATTTCTTTACTAACAATTAGGATTTTGAATCAATGTGTCATCCCATTACATACAGATGGCATGTCCTTTGTAAAGCAGCCTCATTTCTAAAGGTACTATCTTTTTTGCTTTGCAAGTAAAAGGTAACATGTCTACAAATGAGAATTTAATAGTTATTTCCTGCTTGATTTTAGTTACATTTTAGTATCTATGCTAATTAATAGAATTCATAAAACAAATAATAAAAAATGAAAAGGTCCATGCTTAAATCAGAATTCATGTTTTCTACTGTCTTAAATGGCAATGCAATTTTCTCTAACATTGTGCTTTATTTTGAAGCCTGAGATCATTTCTAACTGGAGTGTTCCATGAAAGCTCATTTCACTCTTAACATAATGGTATAGTTTGCATGGATTTATTATATTTTCACTGTGTTAAAGTTTAAGTGTGTTTTGAAATCTGAAGGTTAAGAATTCTAACATTACCTCATGAAGCTGTGTTGATTGAGATCTTTTATTAAAATTCGATCATCATACTATTTTGTATTTTAATTCCCTACTCTGGCTATGGAAATTTGCCAGGAAAGGCTAGAAAGATTTAGTTTTTACAGCTTAGAAAACAGAGTTTTAATTTTTCATTTTCACGTTACAATAGATAATAACATTAGCATATATTATTTTTAAAGTTCCACATAACTCAGGCTTAAAATCATACACAATCATTATACACAATCATAAACTTTCCAGTTTATATTCATTCTCATGTAAAGAAAAATTATTTCAAATAAAACACACCATATACCATTTAAACATTTGGTAATATCAGATACTGGAGAAATGCTCAAATTTGAATTTTTTTTCTATATAACTTCATCACCAAGAAATCAAAGCAAGTATACTAGGAACCCATTTCAATATATTAAATATTCAAGCATGACTGTCTCCATTTAAACAAAAAATACATAATAAACTTACCAAGAAAATTCTAATTATTTTGCTAATGTACATTTTTAAAAAAGAATATCACCTCTACCATTAAGTGAATACATAATCTTGTTCAAGTAATTAAAATAGTCAACCAATAATATAACAGAAAATCAATGAACTAGAACCCAGTATTACTCTCAATTATCACAACATTGTTCTACTTTTTAAAATTTTATTTATTTACTTATTTATTTATTTTTAGAGAGGGGGAAGGGAGAGAGGAAGAGAGGGAGAGCGATATTGATGTAAAAAAGAAACCAACAGGTTGCTTCTCGCATGCACCCTGACTGGGGACCAAACCTGACCTTTCATTTTGTGGGATGATGCCCAACTTAGGGCTTTATTTATTTATTTATTTATTTACTTATTTATTTATTGCAAAAAGACAGGCATTCTTGAATAAAAGACCAATCACTTTTATTCAGGAGGATGATCCTGAGACAACCCTTTAGTATGTTAATACATGGAAAAAGACAATAAAATATTTTATATACTCACTCATTTAAGCAGAATTTACTGCATTAATATTTTATAAAAATCACTTCAGCAAAAAAAATTCAGTTTTTGGTAGCTATCAAGTTTAGAATAAAGGCGCACCAGCTGCCACACAAACTTCACATAAGAACAACCCCATTTCCTAAAACTACTGGTTAATAAAAATTATTGCAAAGATCAGAATCACCTGGCTTAAAATTCACAGACAAACACTAAGTAAAAATGTATATAAACATCATATAGGACTGGAATGCAAGGTGGGTAGTTCACCTGACTTATTTATCCATTATGAAGTCAACACAATTTGTAATCAGATCTATTTCCTAACATATGAAGAGTAGCTCAAATTCAAAATTTATTTATTATAATGGTCCAGTGAATATAAACCAATCACTATAAAAATTCTTCTTGCTTCCTGTTTAAACTTTGCTTAAATTTTAGAATTTAGAATTAGTGTTGCCATTTTTCATTTGCTTTTTAGGGTCCCCTTTCCTAGAAGGGCATCTTAGATTCAGTGAATTGGTTTCAGGAAAATTATTCTGGACTGTAAATTTAGAGAATTATGAAGGAAAGAGTTGCCAAATCACAGGAAAAGTCAGAAAACTGAAAATATAGAAAGACTGAGACTAGTATTTGAAATGTATTACCTGTTCCAAGTTTTGAAGGCATTGCTGGCTCGTTTGAACAGATATCCCTCCATTACAATGCCATTGGCAGCATCTACATTATATTCTAACTTAGAATCATCACTGGAGAAATCCTAGACAAAATAATACATAAAAAAAATTTGTATCACTTGACTAAGTTGCCTAGATAACAAATTTATTCTAGAAAAACAGCTTGAATGGTAGAAAAAAACTGCATTAAGACAGTTACATCAACAATATTCATAAGGAGATAAACTTAAATATTCAATAACAGAAGAATGTTTCAACATATTATAGTATTTCAATTCAGTAGACTATTGTGAAGTAATATAAAAAGATGATTATTGGGATATACTCTCAAAAAGAAAAAATATATAAATTGTAAATGTACTGTGATTAAAAGTACAAAATAATATCTATAGAAGTAGACAAAAAGAACAACTAAATATTATACAGGGTGTTATCTTTAAAATGTTTCCATTTTTTTCTAATATTTTAGGGTGATGTGTGTGCTAACAATTAAAAAAAGGAATATGGATTTTTAAAATGGGATTACCACTGTTTTCTAAATATATAACAATTATGGTAGTTTTTTAATCTGATACAAGTAATAACTCCACTAGTTGGAAGTAGTGAAATAAAATAGTCATTTTTTCTTAAAACAAAATTTAGTGTTGCAAAGGAAAAGCACAGTTTGAAGTGGGCATGTTGAGCTCACTTTTTTCTATTCATAACCTTCTTCTATCATTCTAATCATTTTAGTTTTCACTTGAATGCACTTTAAACTCAACTTTATTCCAAAGATTCATGAAATTTTGAAATCAGTAGTCCTATCTTAAACTATTTCCTAATGAATTTTCAAAGTAGTCTAGTAAAATTGCAAGACTGCTGCTGTCTTCAAAGTTAAAACTTTAAAAATCAGTCTCAGAAATTTCAAAATTACTCTGGAACAATGATCAATGATTAAAATGTGATCTATTAGGGAGTAAAATTCTGTCTTGAGAAAGACTTTTACACAGGCTGAATGACCTGTGAATGACCACGTGCCAAGTCCACTGGACAGAGAGGTACTGCACTGAGGGTGTGGAAGGGTGAGAATCACCCGAGAGCCTTCCAAATCTAAGAATCTACAAAGATGGAAAAAGGAAGTAGACTAAAGTCAGAATTAAAAACAGTAACTCCCCTGACATGTTCCAAAATTTAACCATAAAGTCATGATAATCCAAAATAACCAAATGAAACAAAATCTGTAAATGAATCATCACATTTTCTTCCTACTTTTTCTTTGGGAAAAAAAGAGAAACATTAATTCTCTCACTTAAAATTTATTTCAAGCTATAATTTAATTATGCAGACAGGATTAAGTCAGCAATAGATATAATTGAGTTTGGCAACATTTTAAGTTTCATTTGCAGTATCAGCAGTTTTTTTAATAACTCTGATGCTACTTAAAACATCAAACAATACTTCACTGAAAACATAGTGCATTTGTAAATGTTCTTCTAATTTTCAACTATATTTCTTGAGATAAATTATGTCTTTAATTTAATTACTATTAACATCAAGTTAATATTTTATAGTACTTAAAATATGATAGATTATATTTTATAATGAAAGCAATAAATAATGTTGGATAAAATATATAATATTAGAATTTAAATATATTGATGTACTGGCAAATTAGGAATACTCAAAGGCAAAAGATTAAGTGAAAATTGGAAGCCAAGCAGGTAAGCAGAGCAAGGAAGCTAGGTTTCACCTTAAAGGCATCTGATTTATCAGAAGAATGTGAAGCTTTGGTGTGGAGTCCAGGGAACAGAAGGCAAGAGTAGGGTTGGCCAAAAAAGGGAATCTAATAGAAACTTTTCCTTTTGAAATTGCAAGTAAGACAAGAAGGACCATTATTACCACATCGATTCAAGACTATGTTGGAAGTCCAAGCCAGCAAGGTAACAAACAAAATGCAAAGGACTGGAAAGGAAGAAAAATGACTATCATTATTTGTAGATGATATGACTTTGTTCAGAGAACTTCCAAAGATGTACACAAAGAATCCAGAGACAACTTAGTGTTAAAAAGACTGCAACAAAATTAATGGTTGTAAAATCAATACAGAAAAGTCAATTTCATTCTAATACACAACAAAGGTAAGCTGTGAAAAAAATTTAAAGGTAACATTTACAAGTTTCTAGAAATAAATAGAACAAAAGATAAGAAAATTATCAAACTTCATAAAGTGCATCAAAGAAAACTTAAATAAATAGAAAAATATTTCAAGCTCATGAAGATATCAATTCTTCTCCGAACTGATGTCTAGGTCCAATGTAATCTCAATTAAAATCCCAAAACTGATTTTTATGCAACCTGAAAAGTTGCTCTTGAAATTTATATGGAAATGCAAAATTTAGGCAATGCACTTTTGAAGGTAAGAGGGTAGAAGGCTTTGCTTTGTCAGATATAAGATGTACTATAAAGTTAAAATAACTAATGGCATAGTACTGGCACAATAAAGACAAAAAAACAGTGAAGCAAAATAGAGAGCCTGAAGCCAGCCTCACATGTATGGAAATGTGATCTTTAACAGAAAACAAAATGCAGAGTAGTAGGGAAAGAATAAACTTTTAAATAACTGATTAGCTACCAATGTGATAATAAAAGGAAACTGGATCTCTACCACACATCACATACCACACACAGAAACCCAATCACAGATGGATTCAAGATTGAAATATAAAAGACAAACTTATAAACACTTAGATTACAGAGGAGATGTATCTTCATGATCTTGGGTTGGGAAGGATTTACTAAACCAGATGCAAAAAGATACACATAAACAAAACCTCAAAGACTTAAAAAACACATATACCCCAACAAGGAGTTTATATTCAGAATATATGGAGAACCTGATTAACAGGCAACCTAATAGAAAAATGGGAAAAGGACTAACAGAAGTTTCACAAACAGGATATCCAAATGAAAAACTACAATCAGATGTTAATACCTACCCACCAAAATAGGCAAAATATTAAAAACTCTCACAGTACAATGAGGTGGCAAGTAGTAAGGGAAATTCTCACACAGTGCTGCCTGCTGGGAATGGTATAACATTTTGAAAAATAATTGTAAATAGACATACTTTCCCTTAATTAGTTGACTGAATCTCCCCTCCCCACCCTTTTTTTGTTACCTGTAATGCAGCCTTGTGTCAGCATTTAAGGGCAGGAAAAAAGGTAAGTATACACAATGAGCACAAATAACATTACCTTTTTTAAAGGAAAACAGTTATTGACTATTACTTAAAATCAAATAAATGAATTTTAGATTTAATAATCTACTAGTTTTGAACTGTATATATAATAGGGAAAGACATTAAAAGATACACACTATTAACCAAATAATTCAGTTTAAGCAAACAGTCACGTTTCAACAAATACCATGATCTTGTTTTAAGTAGAAATGACTGATCACAAATTTTTGACAATTTTTCCATGGTAATATCATTAAAACAAGTTATCCAATCAAAAGTACTTTAACCTTAAACAAAAATAAAACATGGAGCCTTACCTGACTATAGCTAGAAGTAACAAATTTAAAGATAGTGTGGTATGTTTCTCTGAGTATTAATAACTCATCACCAATAAATTTTCCTTATTTTTATTACTGATTTCATTTTCATTTTTTTCCACTGACATATTCTATGTCAGATATAGTTTACTAGTATTTTAAATTCTAAATAAACCATAACAAAAGTTGATTTGATTGCTCAATACCAAAAGAACATATTTCTTAAAGTAATGCTGAAAGGCATTTTTTTTTTTCCTTTAAGAGGGGTCAGTACAAACATGACTATGTACCCCTAGTACCACAAATTCTGAAATTGAGTTTCCCACATCTAGGAAAATCTCAGAGGTCAATATATCATGCATGTAATCAATAAACTCACCCTGGGAAAAAAACTAATCAAGGCAACTGCTATGACATAATAGAAGGCATCTTGTCATATACTTGTATTATCACATTCTACCTCTAATTCTCTCCTTTTGTTTTCAGATAACTACATAAAAAAATGTCATTGACTACATAAGATAAAAAAAAAAACTGGTTTCATATTTAAAAGTATATTTTTGCCTTGGCTGGATAGCTCAGCTGACTGAAGCATCATCTTGTACACCAAAAGGTTGTGGGTTTGATTCCCCGTCAGGGCACATACCTAGCTAGGTTTCTGGTTTGATTCCCGGTTGGGGAGCATACAGGAGGCAACTGATTGATGTTTCTTTCTCACATGGATGGGTCTCTCTCTCTCCCCCCCCTCACCCCTTCCTCTCTCTCTAAAATCAATAAACATATCCTCGGATGAGAATAAAATATTATTTCAAATATCAGTTTAACCTTTGGCAAATTAACAAGAAATCCAAGTGAAATTTCAGCATCTCATAAGATGGAGAGTGCTACAGTGCTTACAGATGGAAAGTCCATAATACCAAACACACACATTTATGGTAAGGTGTTCCCCACCTCTACCTACTCTGCCCACAATTCCCATCCCAAACCACACACACACACACACACACACACACACACACACACACACACCCCCTTTACAGGGGTTGGTAGTATTATAACTGAAACTATAAATAGTGTTTTAAATTCTAACCAAGTGCCACTTTTAAATTAATTAAGGCCCTAACAGAGTGACATTTTTATAAACTGGTTCAAGAGCATGGCTTTCAAATATTTTGATGTAAAGGAGTAACAAAACCAAATGCCTAAACATCTGAAGAATATTTTACTTTTCACAAAAAAGGAGGGATTCATATACACAATTTAATAATTAATGCAACTCAAAGTATGTGTTCAAACACAATGGTATCTTGCTGAACCCAATAATCAAACAATTGGGTAAAATGGAAATTAATCTCTTCTAACTTTTCCCCTCAGCTACCTTTTGTTGAATGGTGGAATGTTTTTGCTCCATCTCTCTTTTTTCTTTTGCTGCATCCACAACCAGTTGATCCAACTAGAAAGGGAGAAAATGAGAAAAGTATATATAGACGTAAAAAAACAAATATGCTTATTTTTAAAAACCAGAGTCGCAATAAGTCAGTCAATTTAGGGAGGGAGGTGGGTTTGGAGGGGGTGGGGGGGAGGAGTGGGGAGAAAATACAGACAACTATAATTGAACAACAATAAACTAATTAAAAAAAAAGGCATTTTGGCTATAACTTAAAGTGGAAGTTATTTTGTTTTGTTTTGTTTTGTGGTAATAAATCCTCTTTGAAAAGCTCTAAGTTAACTTTTCTAGGGAAAAGGTTTCTAAGAATAGTCAAGGTTCAAACAAATGTGATAGGAGGCCGTGTCAAGGACACAACAGTGATAACTCATTCACTCCTTGAATAAGGAAAATGACCCCATCTTAAGTCACCTGCTGACTCAGCAATGTTGGTAGTTACAATCAAAGATAGAAAGAAAATACACTGGTGATTCTTTTCCCTGCAACAACAAAAAGTAGCAACTAAGAGTGGTAAGACTTCCTCTGATCATTCAAGATACTTCCTGTTTTCAAGTTGGCTTCCTAATATTATAATTAAATCTAAAAGGTATAAAAAGAATTCACTGGATAAAAGAGAAAAGAAAAAAAATTATAATAGCAGTCATTCATAAAACCAGGGTATAAAATCACCAACTTAAATATTTTTATTGTTGTCCTTTGCTCCCCTCCTCCCAGCCTCCATTCTCTCTTCCCTATGGCCATCACCCCACTGTTGTCTGTGTCTATAGGTTATGCATATATGTTCTTTGTCTAATCCCTTCAACTTCTTTCATTCAGGGCCTCCCTCTTCCCTTCCGTTTGACAGCGGTGAGTCTGTTCCATGTATCCATGTTTCTGTTTCTCTTTTGTTCACCCGATTCCACATAGAAATGACAGCCTATGGTATTTGTCTTTCTCTGACTGACATATTTCATTTAGTATAATGATCTCCAGGTCCATCCATACTGTTTCAAAAGGTAAGATTTCCTTCTTTTTCATAGCCACATAGAATTCCATTGTGTGAATGTACTGTAGCTTTTTTATCCATTCATCTACTGATAAGCTCTTGGGCTGTTTCCAGATCTTGGCTATTGTAAATAATGCTGCTATGAACATGGGGGTGCGTGTATACTTTCAAATTGGTGTTTTCGAGAAAATCACCAATTTTTAAGGGTTTTTTTAAGCTAAAAAAACTTGGGATATCATAAAATCCCATTTCTTTCTTGCTTTTCAATCAGAAAAGATGATCTTCCATCAAGAGAAGTATCTGATTTCTAGGATTATGACAAATCGCTGGCTTCTTGACCTCCTTTTTGCTAGAATAACTAATAATTGGGTTATAAAATACTCCATTACGTGGTTCAACTCTTCTAGACTGTGATAAATGTCATTTCACCTTTGAATCCCCTCCACCTCTGATTAATGTGTGATAAGTGAACAAATAAAAATATAAATATCAATAGGAATATGGAAGAAGATAAAGTATTAAATGCACAAAGTTTTAATTGATATCCTTTAAAAACTGAACTGAAAAAGGACCTTCTTGTAAAGTTTTTGATCTTTTATTTATTGTTACAAATGATGTGCTTTGTGCTCCCCCCCCACAGACCAATAATTTTCAGCACAGATTCTTAATACCACTGAATACTTATAAAGAACCAACAGAAAACACACTGAAACAGAACTATCACTGTTATAAAATATTGGATTTAGATGGTAACTATACTACCGCACTTTATGATCTAATACATATATATCTTAGTGACATGTAACAGTAATTTAACAGTAATGCTGGTACATGCTGCACTAGGAAAATGTTTGAACTCAATACCTTCTTATACTGAATAAGTGGAATAATCCTTGGGCCACAGTTTTACAGCCTATAATTGAATGGCACATAACTATTCATTCATTCAGATTGAAGTGCAGAACAAGGCAGCCTCCAAGATTCAACCTAATATTTACAAACTTGAAGGCATATACCTTCCACACAGATGGTTTTCTGCCTGTCAAATTCATAGTAAATTCCTCTTCTGCATTCCACCCCATTGCTATTGCAGCAGTAAGGGGGGAAATGCCCCTTCCAATATTTTGGAGAAGTGTAAGAAAAAGTATTTTTCAACTTGGAGGAAAGTTGAGGTATGAGTTGGGGAACTGTGAAGACTAGCAGTTTTGTCTCCAAGATGCCAGGGAACATATTAGGAGCAGAGAGTTTGAAGCACAGCAAAAGGTATCCCATGTTTGTATTAGTGCTGGACATTATGAGTTTAACAGGTTCCTGTAACTAGACAGGCACCCCGATCATCTACCTGTGTTTTGAATGCCATCCACTCCTACCACCTTCTCTTTCTGCTTTTCAACTTCTGCTATTCCCTTCTGCTTTTAAATTTGTGCAAATCATACTACTTTAAATAAAACCTCCTTCCAACTCATATTCCTTTCTAGCTACCACCTTCTTTTTCTTTCCTTCACAATACAGTTTCTTGAAAATTCTTTCCTGTTCTCTACTTGCCCATTTTACTTTCATCTCTACCCACTGTAATTTAGCTTTATAAATCTAAATTAGGACTTTGAATTCCTGCTGCTAGGACCTTCAACTCTCTTTCTGCTAAACCCAATAGATAGTTCTCAGTCCTAGGAGATGATTCTCTCTAGTATTTGTACTGGTAACCACCCTCTCCTTTTTGAGACACTCTAGGCTCCCAGTTGTCTATCTTCTCTCTCATTTTGTTCTCATGGAACTCTTCTTACCTAGCAATCTCTTAAAAATTGGTCATTCTTAGGACCCTGTCCCAAGCCAAATTCTCTTTTTAGTCTATACTAGTAGACACTGACTTTAACTTATCAAACCAAAATCTTTAGGCATGGTGTTTGGGCACTAACATTTTTTAAAAAGTAGCTACATGATTCTGAGGTATCTATTAGCTCTCATTGGTTGCAATTAGCAACTATATGCTATTGATTCCTTTAGTCTATATCTTTCCCTTGAGCTCCAGGTGTATCCACTTAGATATCCTATCCTCACAAATCAACAGATTTAAGCCTGAACTCATTATGTCCCACCACCCTCAAATTGGTTATATCTTAAATACCCCTCACGTCCATCTGAGTCCATTCATACAGCCATGACCCCAGTTCCAGATGTCATTATCTCATAACTGAATTAGGAAAAGAATATCCTAACTGGTCACCTACAATCAGGCCATATTATCCACTAGGCACTAAAGGTATCAGGACTTAGATGTTTTTCAAGGACCTACAAAAGTATTTGAGATCTGGGAAGAAGAAGATGGCAAAACTGAAATTAATAAATACCTAAAATAAATAATTATTTTAACTAGACAACTATAATCCAACTCATTTTTTAAATAAATCATACTTAAGATGAGGGTACAATCTAATATTTGATAAGATGTGGGGAATACCTAGGTGTTATATCCTACCAAGTCTAGGTTAGATATCCTATCTATATACAAGGTAAGGCAAAAGTAGGTTTACAGTTGTTCATATGGAAAATACTAGAATGATTAATGTATAATAATATGAGAATAAACTCTCATATACTCACAACCGAAAATCTACTTTTGCTCCACCCTCTATTCCTTTAACACTGATCCTCCACTATGTGATAGAGATAGCTACCAATATCCATTTTTCTCTCCTTATGTCTTAACAATAGAACTCCCAAATTCTAGTATGTCACATGATTACCTAGTATTAAGTCTATCTTTCCAAGCTTTCCTTGCACCTTGTGTGACAGAGAAGTGTACAACTTCTGGGAAATACCCCTAAAGAAAGGGAATGAATCTTTCCCTTTTCCTTCTTCCTGTTAGAAGGAACTGTAATATGATGGTAAAAGCTTGATCAGCTGCTCTGAACCATGAGGTAGAATCAAAAGATATATTAAGTCAGTTTCTCTGTAGACCAATGACCACCAACCATATCAGGCCTTTGACTTTACATATAAAAAATAAAATTCTATCTTGTTGAAGTTACTACTATTTTCAGTTTTCTATTGCATACAAGCAAACCTAATCCCAATTTATATACCCAGAGAAGGTACTCGGCACAGAGAATAATACTCTGGTAATTTGGTTTCTTCTAGTAAATTAAGTTCTGTAGAGGCAGAACACAGTATCTCTGTAATTCATAGCATATGCCCTGTATACCATCCTTATCTCATACCCTCCCAATACACACAAGCATGCACCATATTTATTTTTGGTCAGTGAATAAATTTCTCATTTCACTATTACCTTTCTCCCATTTCCCTAAACTCTAGTTTTCATCCTTAATTCCCTTCTCTTCAAAAAGGAACTTAAACCATTTGGGGAAAAAATCACCTAAAAATTGATATTATTCAATCCAGAGAGCTCACCAATCAACAAAAAAAGAATGTCCAAGAACACATCTAATATAGAGTTCTGATCAGATATCAAAAATAATTTGAACATAATGAAATTTCTATATAATATTCTTAAATTATGTCAACTCACACATGTGCATGTTTATATAAAATGAGAAAGTTCACAAGTTCTATAATGTTAAGTTTCTAACATTTTACTATTTAAAATAGCAAAATACAAAATTTTTTTAAAACGAAGAGCTATAACAAATGAAAAACCAATTAAGACAATACCTCTATTTTCCAAATGTAAGAAAAATAAATCAAGTTATGTATACTGTGAAACAGATGCTTTGTTTTTAAGTTCTCCTTTTCAATACTCTCATATACCATCTATAATACTTTTAACTTTAATCTCATTTTGGCTGCACATTTAACCTATACACAAATCTGCTGTTGCATCAAACTTCTTCATTAAATAAGTAAATATTAGATTCCCAACATGCTAAGTTTATTATATTTTATTGATTATGCTATTACAGACATTCCAATTTTTCTCCCTTTGCCCCCTTCCACCCAGCACCTGCCCCACTACCTCAGACAACCCCCACACCATTTTTATGTCCTTGGGTCATACATATGTGTTCTTTGGCTACTCCATTTCCTATGCTGTGCTTTTTATCCCCATGATTATTCTGTAACTACCAATTTTCACTTCTTAATCCCATCACCTTTTTGGCCCATCTCCCCGACCTCCAATCTGGCAATCATCAAAACATTCTCCATACCTATGATTCTGTTTTTATCCTGTTTATTTTGTTTTTTAGATTCAACTGTTGATAGATATGTATTAGTTGTCATTTTATGTTCCTATTTTTTTCTACTTCTTCTTAAAGAAGACCCATTAACATTTCATATAATGTTGGTTTTGTGATGATGTACTCCTTCAGCTTTTTCTTCTCTGGGAAGCTCTTTATCCATCCTTCAATTCTAAGTGATAGCTTTGCTGGGTAATCTTGGTTGTAGATCCTTGCTTTTCATCACTTTGAATATTTCTTGCCAATACCTTCTAGCCTGAAAAGTTTCTTTTGAGAAGTTAGTTGACAGTCTTATGGGGGCTCCCATGCAGATAACTAACTGCTTTTCTCTTGCTGCTTTTAAGATTCTCTGTCTTTAATCTTTGGCATTTTAATTATGAAGTTTCTTGGGGTGGCCTCTTTGGGTTCACCTTGTTTGGGACTCTGTACTTCCTGAACACAAGTCAACTCACACATGTGCATGTTTATGCACATGTGTGCATAAAGATATTTCCTTTATCAAGTTAGGAAAGTATTCTGTTGTCATTTTTTCAAATATGCTTCCAATTTCTTTCTCTCTCTTCTCCTTCTGGCACCCCCATGATGCAAATGGTACACTTGAAGTTGTTTCAGAAGTTCCTTACACTAGCCTCATTTTTTTTGGATTCTTTTCTCTTCCTGCTGTTCTGATTGGGTGTTTTCTTTTCATCCTTACACTCCAAATCACTGATTTGATTCTCGGCTCATCCCCTCTACCATTGATTCCCTGTAAATTGTTCTTTATTTTAATTAGTATATTCTTCATTTCTGACTGGTTCTTTTTATATGGATTCCATGCCCTTTTTTATGCTGTTGAGGTTCTCACTAAGTTCAATGAGCATTCTTATAACCAATGTTTTGAACTCTGCATCCAGTAGCTTACTTGTCTCCATTTTGTTTAGTTCTTATTTTGAAGTTTTGTTCTGTTGTTTCATCTGGGCTATGTTTTTTGTTTCCTAATTTTGGCAGCCTCCCTGTATTTATTTCTTTGTATTAGGTAGAACTGCTATGTCTCCCAGGCTTGGTAGAGTGGTATAATTTAGTAGGTGTCCTGTAGGGTACAGTGGCACAGATTCCTCTATCACCCAAGCTGGGTACTCAAGGTAAGCCCACTGTGTGGTTGTGTACACGTTCCTGTTGTAGTTGAGCTTTGGTTGCTGTTGGCACATCCAAGGTCAGCCACCACCTGTATTCTGTCCAGGGTTACACAGAATAACCACAAAGCGATCTGCATTTGGCAGCTACTTGTGTTGGGCTGGGAGGTGCTTGGGTGAGGCCAAGCTGTGAATTAAGGATGGCTGCTGCTAGTGCCCAGATTGGGGCAATTTAGTGAGAGTTAGGAACTCACTGAAGCCAGATGCTTCTTGTTTTCTAGAATTTAGGAGAATTTGAAGCATGGCCCAAGACAAGCCATTCAAATAGAAAAGCCACTGGAAACAGCTTGGGTGGGCCAAATTGTTGGGTGATGTAGGGCCTCTAGGATCCACCAGGGCAGGGCAAACAGTGTGAGTCAGGTTGATGAAATCTCAGATATGGCTCATGCCTGCCAGCTCTGTGGCTTTGTGGGTAGAGGGCTCAGAAAAGGAACAGTGGCCTCTGCCAGCACTTCTGTCTAGGAGAAGCCTGCCCTCCCCCCTAAGCTTTCACCTTGGTGTTGGGACAATCCAGTTCCTCTCCATATGTCTCTGATGCCTTTCAATCTACTGCCCCCATGTTGGAGCTCAGGGGGACAGAGTCTAGTAAGTCTGTGCATGGGCCCTTGAGAAAGATGTGCCAGAGAGTCCAGCAGTTTCTGTCTTCCACAGCCTCAATCCCCACTGGTTTTTACAGCCAGAAGTTATGGCGACTTCTCTTCCTGGCACTGGAACCCTGGAATGGTAGGCCTCATGTAGGGCTGGGACCCTTCATTCCTTAGATATTGTTCCTAATTTTTATCTGCCACACACAGGTGTGAAACCAGCCCGTTTCCGGTTTCCGCCACTCCTACCAGTCACATTATAGTTTCTTCTTTAATTCTATAGTTGTAGGACTTCCATTTAGTTCTATTTCTGATGGTTCTGAATGATGGTTGCTCCATAGTTTAATTGTAAATTTGATGTCGTTGTGCAAGGAGGTGAGCTGTGTTTACCTACAACTCCATCTTGCCCAATATGCTAAATTTGTTTTAAAATACAGATATCAGAGCAAAGGCAACAAAAGCAAAAATAAACAGGTGGAACTACATCAAACTAAAAAGCTTTTGCACAGCAAAGGAAACCATCAATAAAATGAAAATTCAACTTTTCAAATGGCAGGAGATATTTGCAAATCTTGTATCATATAAGAGGTTAATGCCCAAAATATATAAAGAATGCATACAATTCAACAGCAAAATAACCAAAGTGATTTAAAGCAGTCAAAGGATCTGAACAGACATTTTTCCACAGAAGACATTCAGATGGCCAAAGAAAGGTATGCAATGTCACTAATAATCAGGGAAATGCAAACCAAAACCAAGGACAATGACCTTATCCTCTCATGCTTGTTAGAATGACTATTAACAAAAAAACAAGAGAGAACAAAGGCTGGCCAGAATGTGGTGAAAATAGACCGTTGGGCACTCTTGGTGAGCATGTAAATTGATGCAGCCACTACACAAAACAATATGATGATTCTGCATAAAATAAAAAAGAACTACCCCATATATGTTCCAGATATTCCACTTCTAGATATGTATCCAAAGAAAACAAAGATACTAACTCAAAAAGATGTCTGCATTCCCATGTTCACTGCGGCATTATTTACAATAGCCAAGACATAGACACAACTTAAGTCTCCATTGATGGATTGATTAAAAAAATGTGGCATATACATACAATAGAATATTCTTCAGCCATTAAAAAAGGGGGAAATCCAGCCTTTTAAGACATAGATAGGCCTTGAGGGCATTATTCTAAATGAAATAAGTCAGACAGAAAAAAATAAATACCATATGCTCTCACCTATATGTACAATTCAAAAACAAAACAAAACAAAACAAAACTGAAAGTTATAGATACAAACAACAGTTTGCAGATTGCCAGAGGTGGGATGAAGAGTGAGAGTGAAAGTGCTGAAGGGGGTCAAAAGGTACAAACTTTCAGTTATAAAATAAGTTAGTCCTACAGATGCAATGTACAGGGTGGTGACTATAGTTAATAATACTATATTATATATTTAAAGTTGATATGAGAATAAATCTTAAAAAGTTCTCATCACCAGGAAAAAAATTAAAACTATATGGGTGATGGATGTTAAAGTTAATGGTGATCATTTATGTGTGCATGTGAGTGTGAAATCATTATACTGCATATCTGAAAGTAATATGTCATTTGTCAATTATATCTCAATTTTTAAAAATATAGATATCAGGGTGTAACAAAGAATCAAAAGGTATACCTGTGCGCCAAGATCCTTCATGTAGGGCCCAAGTTCACTAAATAGATCATATCCTTGATGAAAGAAGGCCAAGTGGGCATACATAAAGGATAGCATCTAATAGGAGAAAATAAGATTAGCATTTTAAAATAAACTATTAGGTAAACATTCCAAAATTCTTAAAAATCCTTATCTTACCTATGTTTAAAAAATTATTCCACAAGAGCTCAAAATATCAAACCTATTTAAAATTAAACCTAGTCACTTTTATTTCTTCTTCTTTTTTTTTTAATTCTCACCCAATGATATTTTTGTATTGATTTTAGAGAGACAGGAAGGGAGAGAAACATTGATTGTCTTCCGTATGCCCCTGATCAGGGATCGAACTGGCAATCTAGGTATGTGTGCTGACCGGGAATCAAACCTGCAAACTTTTGGTGTATGGGACAATGTTAAAACCAACTTAGCCACCTAGTCATGGCTGAGTCATCTTTCTTAAGAGTATTTTAGAAATATTTGCAAGTATGACAATAAATAACTGATTTTAGAGAGAGAGAGATGAAGGAAGACAGAAAGAGAGAGACAGAGATACTGATTTGTTGTTCAAATTGTTTCTACAAGCATTGGCTGATTCTTGTATGTGCCCTGATCGGGATCAAACCCACGACCCTTGTATATTGCGTAATGCTCTAACCAACTGACCTACTCAGCCAAGGTGACAATAAAGTTTACTTAAAAGAAATTTCTAACCAGTTTAAAATTTTAACAATGCCCCAAATTTTAGTTGTTTGGACTATATCTAGATGATCAAAATTCTCATAGTAATAGTTTAAAGAATCAAGTTTTCAATAGCTTCACCATCCTCCTAGGTACATCATAAAATATCTATGACTTTGAACAAAATTCACTGGCAAAATGTTAAATTGCAAATAAGACATTAAAAGATTAAAAGGAGAAATAAGTACTCAAAATAATCCCACTTTACAAACTATTAGATCACCAAACACAACCCAAAGTAAGAGAATGCTCTTTTTTTTTTTCAAGATACCAAAATAAAATGAGTCAACAGACTTTGCTATGGAGGTTTCTTTCTACTCATTCCAAAAATCCAAAATGTCCTTAATGGGCTGAGATTTCCCCCCAAGTTTTCCTATATGTTACCTATTCATGACAGAAAAATTATCCCTACTCTCATTAGTTAAGTTGGAACATGGGACAAAATTAAACAATTCAATCACAATGTTAAAAGAATCCACTAACATCTGTGTTAATTTTAGCAAGGAGAGGCATGTTTAATTTTCTGAAATCTAAAATAGTTCATAAGGTCCTTAGTACTCCAGAATCTTTCAGGAAGGAATTTTTTTTAAAAAGAAAAACCAATTAAATAAAACACAAAGACAAAAGACAAAGCTCACTAAAAATTATTCTGGAATGAGATAAAGATGGTTGTAGAACTTTGTGAATATAATATAAAACACTGAATTCTATTTTAAAAGAAGGGATATTAATAGCTACAACTACATAAAATGTAAAACATACCAGCACATCAAAACACATAGCAAGCGTATTGATAAATGATAAACAAGGAAATCAACACATGACAAAGGTTTAATAGTTTTAATTTGTAACATGAGATGTTACAAATCAGTATGAAAAAGATGAACACTCCAATACGAAAAGAAGCGAAGGACTTAAATAAGAGAACACAGGTACACAAAAAAATATGGAAAAAACGTTCAAACTCATTTGTATTAAGTAAGTGCAAAAGTGAACAATCAGATCATATTATCTACCCAACTGTGCGTAGAGTGGGGGAAACTAATATTTGGTATTAGTAAAATGTGGAAAACATTCACTAGCATACACTACAAGTGGAAATGTTGCATTACCCTTGAAATTGACAGTATTTTAAAAAAGTCTTAATAAATGTTCATACCTTTTGACTAAGTACTCTCTTGCCCTAATCTATCCAAAGAAATATTATTCATTAGAACAATTCATTACAATGCTATACTTTAATGTCAAAAACGTGGAAATTACTTTTAAAAATCACCATTAATGGGTGAAGTTAATTTACGGTATATTCAAGGTCAGCAACCTATGACTAGCAAACTATATCTAGCTCTACCACTTGTATTTCAATGGCCTATGAGCTAACAATGGTTTCTACATTTTCAAATGGTTAAATAAAATGAAGACATGAAATTCATGATGCATGAAAATTATATAAAATTCAAATTTCCTTGTCCATAAAGAAGTTTTACTGGAATACAGACATGTCTTGTATTTATATATTGTCTATGGCTGCTTTCTCATTACAACAGTGCAGCCAAGTAGTTGTGACACAGACCATATTGCCCACAAAACCTGTAATATTTGCCACCTGGCCCTTCAAAAACCAGTTTGCTCACTCTTCATAAATTCATATGATAATGCTCTACCTGGCACAAATATCATCATTAAATAAAAAATATTTAATGGCATATGATTTGGGAGTGTATTAGTGGAAAAAAAAAAAAAAGGCCCTGAATGATACGGCTCAGTGGGTTGAGCATCATCCTGCAAACTGAAAGGTTGCAGTTTCAATTCCCAGTCAGGACAAATGTCTGGGTTGCAGACCAGGTCCCCAGTTGGGGATGAGCAAGAGGGAACCCACTGTGTTTCTCTCGCACATGGTTGTTTCTCCCTACTTTCCTATAAATAAACAAACAAACAAACAAACAAATAAATATCTTTTATAAAAAAGGAAGTTATAAAACAGTATAATTGATTTTATATCAATTATTTCTATCAGTAGAAATGATTTTTATTTTTTAAAAAATTAAATGCAATTTTAAAAAGTACATAAGCACGTTTACATATACATACATTCATACCCACACATCGAAGAAGAGAAAAAAGACAAAGATATAAACCAAGATATTACCAGTGGTACTACTCCCTTCGTAGTAGGATTTATAAGTATTTTTATTTTTTTCTTCACACATTTTATTTTCTAGTTTTCTACAATTAACAACATTATTCTCAATCTGGAAAAGGAGGTAGAGGTAAAAACAAAGTAAAATGTGCTTATCCAATAAGAAATAACAAATATATAACACAGAAGTTAGGGAAAAGCTAGGTAGAGACAAGGATGAAGAGCAATTCAAGTATATCCTTTCAAATAAAAAATAGTATCAGAGAAGAAAAATTATTTCTAAATTTTCAAAATGTAAGAGTGTAATGTTATACCACTACCATTTCCTGCCCACTTCTCCTTATTAACTTTAAAACAAAAAATAGTAAAAAAAAAGAAAATCAGTGTCAACATGGGTAGAGAGGCTAAGAAAACAAAGTGATCCTCAATTTTCATCCCATTTGTTTTCTAACTGCACACCAAAGAACAAACCTAAAGCCTGATCAATACATTATCAGCAAACCTAGGGAAAAAAATTCTCTAAATGCTATTTACGTATGCCCTCAATCTCAAATATTTAAGTGTCTGATTTAAGGAGATCAGTATAGTAAGAGATGAGATACAGATAAATAACTATAAAGATGAAGGAGACAAAAAAGTGGTGATACATATTTAGTACAAAAAAGATAAATAAAAAGATTAGTTAAAATCCTGGAATAAATATGTATACACATACATATATTGGGTTGGCCAAAAAGTCCATTACATTTTTCTGTAAAATAAAAGATACATTTTTCATTTTCACCAAATAGCTTTATTGATTTGGATATTTTGAGCATGTCGGCTATCTACCACTATTGGCTTCTACTGGGTAGAGGCCGGGGTCCTGCTAAACATCTTTCAGTGCATAGGACAGCCCCACAGCAAAAAATTATTTGGCTGAAATGTCAATAGCACCAAGAAACTTCACAAACCACTTTTGACAAGGTCAATCAGTCACAGCATCTTCTCCATACAGTGCACACATCTGTTTTTTTGTGTTTCAGTTGTGCTTTCTACCTTTTTTTAAAAATATAGCAAAATACGCTGAAAATGTTGTGTATCTTCCTCCATCATCAATATTAAAATGGCTGCACAAAAATTCACCAATTTTGATGGCTTCTTTTTTTTTAAAAAAGCACACTGATATAACAGCTGTCACAATACACTAGAATAAAATTGTTTTGAATGACGTTAAAGACAACTAAGCACTAGTAGAACCATCATTTGGGAAAAAAAAGCAACAAATATTTTGGCCAATCCAATGCAGACACATACACATACCATGCTTCTTTAAACACTTAAATATGTACATGTAGTTTCATATTAAAATATTTAAAACATTTCAATAAATATCTTACTGATTTTAGGATTTCTGATCTTCTTTTTGATTGAAGGACATTAATCTGGGGGAAAATACACTTCATTAATCATTACTTTAAAGAATAATCCATAATGCAGTATTGTAAATGTTGCTTATTCTAAAGATTTAACATTTTTCTGGAAGTAAATAAAATTCAATTTTTTTATCCTTTGGCCTACTTTTTGTGAAAATCGTAAAGACAGACATACCAATGAAACTCTCATCTAAGTTTGATCTCCAAGAACAACTGACTGAGTTTAAATCATAATATTGTAGTGCTAAATCTATCACTTTGATAGATATTTGAATTTCTTAGAATTCCATTTTTTCCACATTTTCCTTATCTAACTTGCTTGTCAAGACCCTTCAATATACATTCTAATGCAAACTGTCATTACTTTTACCACTACCATCAACCACCATCATATGTTTTCTAGACTGTTGCAACAGTCTATGAACTAGTGTTTCCAGACTCAGAAACCAGAAGGATCTTTTGTTTTTTAACAGATTTTATTTATTTATTTTTAGAGAGGGGAAGAGAGGGAGAGAAACATCAATGTGTGGTGGTCTCTCATGCACCCCTACTAGGGACATGGCCTGCAACCCAGGCATGTGCCCTAAGGCTAGGAATTGAACCGGAGCCTCTGTGGCTCACAGGCTGGCACTCAATCCACTGAGCCACACCAGACAGGGCCCAGAGTGATCTTTTAAAATGGAAATCAGATCATGTTCCATTCAGCTTAAAACTTTCCAACTTTCTAACACAGCCTTCAAGGCCTTTTAGGATTGGGCCCTGCCTTCCTCTCCAACCTAGTTTTCTACCACATTCCATCTTTTGGTGTTCAATCACTACTCAAGACTACTCCCACCTCAATGCCTAAATGCTAGTTCTAACTTCACATCATGATATTCTGCCCATATGAACATAGGCCTGTATCTTACCAATCAGGTCCCAGCTTAAATAGTAACTCTTCACAAAGGTCTAAAGTAGGCTGTGTATACAGCCTCTTTAGTGCATGAACCCTATTCATTTTCTTCATAGCAATCATAACCACCTGGTATTTTGTTATTTATGCCTTTTCCTCAACTTAAGTGTAAGCTCCGTGAGACCAGGACCTTGTCTTCTTCCCAGTTGTTTTCTCCAAGTGGTACATAATAAGCACTCAATAAATATTTCTTAAATAATTTGATAAATTTTAAATAAATATTTTAAGTAGACTAAACTTACTAAAAGATCAGTAAATTATGAAATGTGTATTTTGTGGTATTTCTCCCAACACTGGAAATTCATAACACATTTTATTTGTCTGTTATGTATCAATTTAATAAAATAAAATGTTTACACAAGCCCTAGCTGGCATAGCTCAGTGGATTGAGCGCGGGCTGAGAACCAAAGTGTCGCAGGTTCGATTCCCAGTCAGGGCACATGCCTGGGTTGCAGGCCATGACCCTCAGCAACCGCACATTGATGTTTCTCTCTCTTTCTCTCTCCCTTCCCCTCTAAAAAATAAATAAATAAAATCTTAAAAAAAAAAGAAAAGAAATCTTAAAAAAAAATGTTTACACAAAGAATCATTCATTTTGTTAATATTGTCCAATACAGGTATTACAGAATTCCTGCCTTTTAGTATATCCTTCTCACTGAATATTCTGCCTGTGATTTATAAATACTTTTAAAGCACTGATGAAAAAACAAAAATAGACCAAGAAACACAAAAATAACTTTAACTAAGTACTAGTTTCTTTTGCTTGTCTCTTTCAAGGTCTATTCAGTTTTGAGAACTAAAATATTAACTTTCAAATGCTCTAAGAAAAAGGAGAGGCTATAAATAATCTATTATTCAAACTCTGAAAAATGTTAAAAGTGCCTTTGTTTTGTTTTTTTCCCTGTATGGCAATGAGAAACAGTATTTACTTGGGTGGAAAAAGTAAATTCTAATATTTAGAGAGCTATAGCATGACAAACTTTATAAGTCTGGATACTTATTGCTTACTAGTCTCCAAATTAAATAGCATGGCCATATCATAAAGTGACACCACAGTTCTTACCAGAAAAATCAAACTAATAGTTATGGGGAAGGTAGGCCTTGTAACTTACAACTATTTGATGGACACCAAATGAAACAGATAATTCATAATATGCAAGTTTGAAACTAATGAATATTTAGCTGAACCCCCTCCCCAAATAAAATTTAAAATTAGGCCATTAATTCTTGCAAGAAACATTTATTATCTATTTTCCAACCACTAGACTAGAGGGAAGGGATATATCTAGGAACAGAAAATAAATTAATAATTGCAATAAATGGGTTAAGTGTTCCAAGAGCAACATGTATGATAATATTATGGAAACACAGAGGCAGAGTCAAAAATGATTCATTTTGTCTGGAGAAGTTTGAGTAACTCTAATCACAGAACAGAGAATGAATTAGTAACAAAGCTGATAAAAGCAATGCAATGACGTCCAGCTATATGAGAACCTCTTAATACCCTAGAGAAGACAATTAGGACAACAGCAAGAGTGAGAAAGAAGAGACTTAAGAGGTGCATAGAACTTTTCAAATCAGTTTTGGTTATTAAATACAGTAGCCAAGGAAGAGAAAATATTTGCTATATCTTCTTATTTTGGGGATATTAGAAGGTGGCAGAGAGGTAGGTGGGAGCAGAGCCCAGTTCTCCCTGTGCCCAGCTGGAAAACCTAGCTGACCTTCTGAGGAACAGAGTGAACAGCCAATGGAATCCCAGCTTAAATGAATCTTGGAGGCTAAAAATTGTAGAGGACATTGAAAAACTGATGGTGAAGAGATTGTGCTGGGATGGTAAGGTCCCTGGGATCTATGCAGGGTCCTAGGCCACTTGCACACTGGTACAACCACTCTTGAAAACAGTATGGAATTTCCTTGGAAAACTAAAAAATGGAACTGCCTTTTGAACCAACAATTCCACTGCTAGGATTATATCCTAAGAACCCTGAAACACCAGTCTAAAAGAACCTATGCACCCCAATGTTCATAGCAGCACAATTTACAATAGCCAAGTGCTGGAAGCAACCTAGGTACCTATCAGTAAATGAATGGATCAAAGAACTATGGTACATTTACACAATAGAATACTATGCAGCAGAGAGAAAGAAGGAGCTCCTACCCTTTGCAACAGCATGGATGGAACTGGAGAGAATATGTAAGTGAAATAAGCCAGGCAGGAAAAGGCAAATACCATATGATCCCACATTTAACCTAACTAACAAAACAAACAAGCAAGGAAAATATAACGAAAGACATTGAAATTGGGAACAAGCTGACAGCAACCAGACAGGAGAGGGGAGGGACTTGCAAGAATAATTATAAAGGACACACAGACAATAACAAGGGGGTGTGGAAACATGGGAATGAGGTGGGGAAGGGTGGGGTGGGGGGAAAAGGCAGAAAAGTGTACTTGAACAATAAAAACCAAAAGCATTTAAAAAAAAATCCTCCTATTTTGGACTCCATTCAGTTAGGTAAGAACAAAAATAAGCTCTTTAGGAAGATTTCAGCTTTGGCCAAAAAAGAATGTGGTCCTTTGGCAAAAGAAATAGAGTTTATCATCTCTTTACAGTGATAAATCAGGCAAAGTGGCATGATGAAACTCTCAGAGAAATTATAAAGTCAGAAAAGTATAGGACCGAAGATAAAACCCTGAACAAGAGACTGAAAATATGGACAAAGGAAAGAAGCCCATGGAAGAAATTGAAAGGAAATAGAAGATGCCCTAAAAGTGGTTTGGAATAAATCAAGAGAAAAGTATGCTTTAAGAAAGAGAGTATGGCTTACATTTTCAGTGAAACAAAATAGTCAAGTTGGTTAAAAACTAAAATATATCTAAGGAATAACACTTTAGCATGAGCCATGTCAGTGGAATGGGGTAGGAAAACAGAACTTACACTACCAGAGGAAGTGGTATGAATATGAGGCAGGTAAAAGGAGACAGGGAATATAGACTACTTCATTCTAGAAGCCTTTAATTAATAAAGGGAGTTTACTTCATTTTTTTAACTTCCCACTTAACAAGAACTTAACCAAAAAATTCAAAGTCATTTTCTACTGTTTTGCAAAGTTATCTGAGTAGTTTTTAATCACTAACTTGTATACTGTTATTTATGTATTATTTTAAGAAATCATAAGTCAACAATCTCTAGGAACTCACTGCTTTTTTATAGATTTAGAAAACATAATTCCCTAAGCATTAAAGCTTCTAAGCTTTAAACTCTATAATCTGTCTATAGGGGCATTAATATACATGTGATATAATGTACAATGTATACCTTCATTTTTCATTTCTCTCAAATTTCTTTAGAGATCTGTCACTTTCAAATCAAATTGTTTTCAATTATACAATGGACCAGAAGATCACCAGGAAACTTACCAAACATTGATCTCTAGTTTTAAAAAGCAGCACCTAATGCAAAACATGAGAACACTACTTCTAGAAATATTTTTCATTTGGCAATATGGTATGCATTAGTACCTCTAGAATCTACTCTAAAGAAATAATACAAAATATGGAAAAAAATGTATACAAAGATGTTATCATTTAAAATTACTGAAAATTATATTTTCACTATTACCAGTAAAACTGGAAACACTAAAAATGTCTCATAATCAAATATTAATTAAATTGACAGACTCCACAAAATAAAATATAGCAATTAAAAATGCTTTTTACAATATTTAAAATGGCAGAATGTATACTGTTAATTGAAAAGGGGGAGAAATCTTAACCGAAGTTATATATATCCACATAGACAGATAAACAAACAAGTTAAATTTTTTCACAAAATTTCATTTTAATTTTAAACTAAAAAAGAACCTATTATTAATTCTTTTCAGGGCAATCACTCAAAAGTAATGACATATTTAGTAAGCATAGTAATGACATATTTAGTAAGCATTTTTTGAAAATATGTAATAAATATACCTGAAGTACATAGTCTAGGGCTATGTGTCGAAAACATTTTCTTGTTGCTGTCAGAATGTTTGTGGCTTCTTCAACTTCATGCTGTTTGTTTCTCTGTACTTGAGCATTTTTTACTAATGCATTTTCTTTTTCTTCACTGACTTTTTCAAATTGCTTCTTGGCATCTTTGAATTTTCTAAGATCTCTAAAAAATAAAATCAATGAGACTTTTATAAAGTTTTCTTAACCAAAAATTTTAGCAGAATAACATTTAGAATTTAATTCTTATGTACCTGTATTTATTTGATTTACTGTGCAATAATACTCAATTGTTCTTACAACTATAATATATATTGCTTTTCAATTATATATAATTCTTAACATAGTCACCTAACAGTTCCTTACTTAAAGCTATGAATTTGAGGTGAAAATAAATGATCAAATTAACATTACAGAAACATAAAAGGCAAAGTTAATTCTTTGTCCCCTAAAGACAAGTCCAGTGACAAGGATCATTATTTAAACAGACGATTTTAATACAGTAGTATAATAATCATCACGGAAATTTGCTAAAAATGCAAATTTCAAGGTTCCTCTTCTCCCAGAGATTACAATTCTTTAGTTTTTGGGATAAATCCTAGAAACCTACAGAGGTTTTTAAGACACACTCTTGATTTTACTGCTATGGGTTGTCTCAGATCACACTTTAAGAAACAACATTCATTTCTTGTTGAAGGGAACTACTGGTCCAAAAGACATGAATATTCTTAAAACACAAACTCAAAATACTTTCTAAAAGAATTCTTGTACCCAAAAAGGGTAACAGTATCTATTTTCATAGTCTGAATACCTGAAATCCTTGATTCATTAATGATCTTAGGTAAGTATATAACATCATTTTGCTTTTATTATTTCTATCAGAGAAGTAGCCAAATTAACTAGAAGTCAAACAACTTTAAAATAATACTACTAATAAAGTTTACCTAAGAAAGGACTCTTCTAAGAAGCCATTAACTCTCCTGTATACATTCCATCAGAACATTCTGACTATCAGCCTATTATGAAGTAATTCATAAAGAATCTGCAGGACATCATCTCCACAGCAACAATTCTAACTTTCTGAACAACAGTGGATTACATTCATGTGATCTGCCACTATTTACCGCCTATTACCATCTATAATTTATCCTAAATACTGTATTATAATCAACTTTATCTGTAATTTTATATATTCTCACTTAGGAATTATTAGGGAAAATCTGAATTATTAATTTGGAAATGGAAAACTGAGAAAATTAGGTAATTTTTTTTAGTTCTAGTTTCATTTTATTTCACATACAAAATGTAAAAAATGTGACAAAAAGCATGCACTTTCATTTGTCATTCTCATATATTATTTTATCTTCAAAGAAAATGCCATAATGAGACAATAAAAACAATATCAACTACACTAAACTGACAGAATTTCAACCACTCTAGGGGTTTGCTTCGATTTTGAAAGGTCATTAATTTAATTTTTTTAAATTGATAACAATTTTACCTATGTATCCTGAACACATATTTCATAGCAGAAATGATTCATTGTAAGGCAATATAAACCTGATTATTTGCAGGATAATCCAGAGAAAAATGAAATACACACTTTACAAAGCAAAACAAAAGAAAATCTGATATTTTTATATTCATGTTCCATAATTTCTCTCCAAAGATAGCAACTCCCAGGTGTAATAATTAACTAATTGCTCTTCTTTTTCCTTCACTGCAATCGACTTACTCTTTAACAAAGTTCTGAAGCTGGGCCTTAATTGATCTCTGAGTTTGGTCAAATAGAATCTAAAAGACAAAATGTAACATTAAACAATTAGAAAAGTAAATAAAGAAAATGATTTTCATGTAGTTCTCTATAATTATCACATCCCTCTAACAATACTCCAATTTCTAATAACACCTTTAATTCTTATTCAAGACTATATAAGAAATAAGCATTTAAAAGAAGAAACAAACTGATTTTCAAGCTAATTTCATCTGGTCTAAAAAATAAAATCCCTTCTATTTACAGAGGAAATCAAATATGCTTTAATCTTTTTAAAAAATGCCCTGGCTGGTGTGGTGCAGTGGTTTGAGCACCAGCCTGGGGGCATTAGAGAGGCAATTGATCCATGTTTCTCTTGCACATCAACGTTTCTCTCCCTCTCTTTCTCCCTCCCTTCCCCTCTCTCTAAAAATAAATAAATAAAATCTTTTTAAAAATAATGATTAAAAAGCATTTAAATAAAATGCTTAAATAGTACAGCAATTTATTTCCTTGATTTTAATTTAGGCTTTGAAAGACAACCTAAGAATAATACAAATTCTATTCCATCCACAACAGAAATTTCTTAATCTCATATATCAAAGCACACCAAATTAAAACAATTCCATAACTACCTTATATCTTAGTTAAGAGTCATTTGGGAAGACCTAGGGATTTACATGCTTTATATTTGGAGTTCAAGTAAACATTGCATAGTCTTTTAGGTTAAATAATTGCTAATATTAGAGACAAAAATAGAATTTTATTCCTCACAATATTTTGCCCCACTTAGAGGATGTCACGTATTTAGTAACTTTGATAGCTCTGTGAGTGGTAAATATCACAGTGCCAGTCATGGGAATTCCAAGTACTTTCATAACTTATAGATAGACTTTATTCAGAAATAGAAACATATGTCAGATGGACAGGGAGAAAAATAAATATTCAAAACAAAAAGATAATCCTATATCTTTCTACTAATTAAAAACAGTACTAACTTCATTCTTTCTGAAATCTTGCTATTAGCAGTCTCACGTTCTCACCTAAAAATCAAACACACACATACACACACGCACAATGTAGACTGAATCCAGGGTTTAAAAATCTGTCAGTTTACTTCCAAAGAGAAAGAAAAAATCCTATATTATGTTAAACCCAAAGTAGAATACCCAAAATAAGCAGAAGGAAGGAAATAATAAAAATCAAAGTGAAAGTCAATGAAACAGAAAACAAAATCAGTAGCCAAAAATCAATGAAACCAAAGCTTAGCTTTCTGAGATGTATAAAATTAATTAACCTCTAGCCAAAGTGATGAGAAAAAAATAAGTCACAAATTTCAAATATTAAGAGAAGTAATTTCACCACAGATTCTATAGATATTAAAAAGAAAAATCAGGGGAGCTAGGAAATTTTATGCCTGTAAATTCAACAGATGAGTAAGTTCTTTGAAAGACAAAAATTACTAAAGCCCACAATAACCTAAACAGAATTAAAGAAATATAATCTATAGTTTAAAGCCTCCTATATCTTTATAATGTTAAACCTACACTTACCTAGCAATCTCACTCCTAAGTTATTGCCCAAGAGAAATGAAAATTTAGGTTTACAACAAAGCCTGTATATCAATGTTTATAGCAGTTTCATTCCTATTTGCCAAAAACTGGATACAACACAAATGTCTCTGGAGAAACAAATTATGGTACATCAATACAATGAAATACTACTCAGCAACAAAAAGGCACAACTATTAATACATGCAAAAACATATATGAATCTCAATACATTTTGCTAAGTAAAATAAATAATATTCAAAAGGCTTCAAGCTGTACGGTTCCACTTATGTGACATTTAGTAAAAGACAAAACTATAAGGATTGAAAACAAATTAGCAATTTCCAGAGGCAGGGGATGAGAGGAAGGGTTGACAAATGATAGGGTATCATGAGGGTATTTTTAGTTAATAGAACTGAATCTTGACTGTGAATGCAGATCCAATTATATGCATTTGTCAAAGCTCACAAAGCTGTATACGACAAGGAATCAATTTTGTTATACTTAAATTTTAAGATAATGTTAAACTATGAAGAACAGGGTACACATGAACCAACAGATTTTTTAAAAGAATGTAAGAAACAAACAGCAGACTAATGAGGTTGACTGAAAGGACATACAGAAACATAAAACCAACAAGAAAATGCCAATAACATTTATGAAAATTAACCATAAAATAGTATATAAAGCAAGAATATGTCATCAACAGAACATGTTCTCTAACCTCAATGAAATTAAATTATACTACTGATACACAAGAATATAGAGATCTCAAAATTTATATGCCAAGTGAAAGATCTCTTGTACACAAATACTGTATTATTCCATTTATATGGGGTTATAAAACAAGCAAAACTAGTTACAGAAAATACCCAGGATAGTACTTGCCTTGGGAGTGTGGGTTGGGACTGTTTGAGAAGAGGTTTGAGAAAACTTTCTGGATAATGGAATGATCTTAATCTTAAAAGAGATTTGAGTTACACAAACATATGCATTTACCAAAATTCATTATTAGTACACTTAAGATATGCATTTGACTATATTTAAATTTTACCTCAAAAATTTAATAAACTAAAAATATTAAACTCACAAATGGTGCATGGGAATGTATTGTATTTACAAGTGAAATAGGCTGTTGCCTATAAATTATCTTAAAATATATCAATAACAGGTAGATTGATGCATGGAGAGAAGGGAGGATAAAGAGAGAGGTAGGTGATAAAGCAAATGTATCTAGCACGTGAGTATATGAATGTCTACTGTAAAATTATTTCAACTTCTAATAATAATCAGAAAAAGTCACTCCCCCTCAAAAAATTTTTAAACCCTTTTTAAAAAAAGCTCTACAAAGATGTCCTCACCAGTGAATCCTTCCAGACATAAAGGAAGAAAAAAATACTAGTTCTACTCAAACTCTTCTCCCCAAAATCTATTCTATAAGAAAATCTATTCATGAGGAATTATTTATGAGGGACAAAACCATACAAAGACTTTCTAAGAAAAGCTATAAAAACATTCTTAAGAATACATAATAATGATATATAATAATATATAAAAAGGAAAATAGATCATCATCAATTAGGATTTATTCTAGGAAAGCAACATTGATTTAACATTAAAAAAATCAGTCAATATAATTCATCAAGTTAACACACTATAACAAAAAAAACTATATTATCTCAATAGATGAAAAAAATCATTAGACAAAAATCCAATATCCATGCCTAATAAAAATGATTAGAAATCTAGGAATAAACGGGTCCTTCCTCACCCAATAAAGGGCACATATGAAAGACCTACAGCTAACATATTTAGTGATGAAAGGTTACTTTTCCACTACTTTTCAACAGGAAAGATGCCTGTTCTCATCACTTCTACACAACAATGTACTGGAAATCCTAGCAATGCAATAAAGAAAGAAAAATAAAAGAAAAAGACATATTAGAAAGTTAGAATATAAAACTGTTTTTATTCATGGGGTATATATGATTGACTGCATAGATAATACTATAAAATCTACAGAAAAATCTACTAGAATGGTTGCTTTTACAAACAAAGTCATATACAAAAATTAGTGGTATTGCTGTATACCACCAATGGCCGGTTAGAAATTGTGAACTTTTAGAAAGAATACTATTTATACTAGCATCAAAACAATAGAAAATGCTTAGGAATATAGTTGCCTAAAGATATGCAAAACTTGTACCAGGAAAAATTAAAAATTTGGAGAGATATACTTTGTTTATAGATTAGAAAATTCAATACTAAGACATCATTTCTAACCAAATTCATTTTTTATTTGATGCAATCCTACTTCAAATCCCAGTAAAGCTTTGTGTAGAATTTTAAAACCTGATTCTGAAGTTTATATGGAAATGTAAAGGACCTAGAATAGCCAAACCAAAGAGGAAAGAAAGGAACAAAGTCGGAATACTTTGTTCCAACTTGAAATCAGGTACCCACACTACTTGATTTCAAGACTTATTATGAAATAATAATAATCAAGTAATCAAGGCAGTTGTGGTATTAAAATAAAGATAGGCAAAGAGATCAATGAAACAGAAGAATCTATAAATGACAAACACGGAATTTTTTTAAACAAAGGCACCAATAGGGAAAAGATAATATTTAAAAAATAAAAATATATTTTATTATGCTATTACAGTTGTCACATTCACCTCCATTTATTCTCCATGGCACTGAACCCCCCTCCCACCCACATTCCCCCCACCTTAGTTCATGTCCATGGGTTGTACATATAAGTTCTTTGGCTTCTACATTTCTTATACTACTCTTAACCTTCTCTTGTCTACTTTGTACCTACCATTTATGCTACTTATTCCTTGTAGCATAAGGAATATGTCTCACCCCCCATTCTCCCCCCCATTCTCACCCCTCCCCCTCCCTGCTGATAACCCTCCTCCACGTGATCTCCATTTGTGTGATTCTGTCCATGCTCTAGTTGTTTGCTTAGTTTGGTTTTGTTTTTGATTTTCTTTTAGGTTCAGTTGTTGATAGTTGTAAGTTTGTTGTCCATTTTACTGTTCATAGTGTTGATTTTACTCTTTCCCTTAAGTCCCTTTAACATTTCATATAATAAGGGCTTGGTGATGATGAACTCCTTTAACTTGACCTTATCTGGGAAGCACTTTATCTGTCCTTCTATTCTAAATGATAGCTTTGATGGGTAGAGTCATCTTGGATGTAGGACCTTGACTTTCATGACTTTGAATACTTCTTTCCAGCCCTTTCCTGCCTGCAATGTTTCTTTTGAAGAATCAGCTGTTAGTCTTATGGGCACTCCTTTGCAGGTAATTGTCTCCTTTTCCCTTGCTGCTTTTAAGATTCTCTCCTCTTTGATCTTGGGTAATGTAATGATGATGTGCCTTGGTGAGTGCTTCCTTGGGTCCAACTTCTTTGGCACTCTCTGAGCTTCTTGGACTTCCTGGAAGTCTATTTCCTTTGCCAGATTAGGGAAGTTCTTCATTAAT